GTTTGTTTTAATTGTTATCGTAGATAAAAAAAAGGCGGCTTAGTCAGAATTAGAATTGGATTTTTTTAAATTTTAAATGTGCGATCTTAATAATGGCGGGTGGAGGTAATATAGAATCCGTTTGGGCAGAAGAAGGAGAAAAGTAAACACCTAGTTTACATGCTTATGTCGGTTAATTTAACACAAGTTCAATAAACATAATTAATAGAAAAAATAACAGCAAAGTAAAAAACTTACGTCTTGAATACAATTGAAAATTAGATTAACTTTTAATACAATTAACCTAATTAACAATTAAATAAGAGTTCCCGATATCTTGTTTTTAACATTCCTAACAGTAAAAGAAAGGACGTATGTATGTATAATATTTTGAAAATACAAGTCCTTTCTTTGACTACTGTCAATTTAAAAAAATGTTTTTAATACTTTATACAATTATTTATTGACCAGCAATTTAATATTATACAATGGTAAAGCGATCTAGCTAACCTGTTTTTGCATTTTAAAAATTAACCTAATTATCAGTTAACTATAAGTTACCTATGTCTTATTTATTAAATTCCCAGCAGAAAAAGAGTGGTCGAATATATATATTTATAATATTTTAAAAACATTAGACCTTTCTTTGGCTACTGGCAATTTTAAAAATATTTTTTACATTTATTTGACCAGCAATTTAATATACTGTAATATATTGTGAAAAAAAGTTGACAATTTTAGGTAGCCAAAAATATTTATATAATAATGTCACAATTTTTTTTCCAACTGGAATGAGTCTATAAAAGTAGATATTTAATTTATGCTGTAATTTTTTTCCCAACTAAGATTATAATAACAGAGCATTTTTATACGGTAGCTACTTTTACATTACATAATGGTACACATTGTTCTTTAAATAGCCTCTCACTAGCATCAATTAAGGCGCATTGTATAGGCAATTTTTCACTAAAACTTGACATTAAGCTAATGTGTACATATTACCATAGGAAAGGCGGATCTATTTTGATATTCGATTATTTTTTTTAAACTTTTTTAACGCGTATGGGATCTTTTTTGTACAAAACCATACTTTGTTTCTACTTCGGACAGAATTTTCCTAAATATGCTCCGATTAAGGTTTATAAACTGAAATAATTAATTAACAGGAAAATATGATAAAATTATGCCAATATCAATGCCTTGGAAATGTTATAAAGAATTCAAATACTTGTTCAAACATTAAACCAATGTATTCTTAGAAACAGTCCGTACAAAATAGAAGTCCTGGCAATGAGACAGATAAGAATACAAAGACAGTAAAAAAAACATAGTTACGGTTATAATTATACATTTAATGTCCAAGCTAGCCATCCACCCTACAGCTCCTGCTGACGCCCTGGGCAAGTCTTCCACAACACCGATAAGGTATTATTGAAATTTGTAATGCCCATAACTGCCGGGGGACGGGTTCAACTAGTTCGCGGTAGCTACGGCCATTACAGCTTTCAATAATACACAACACACATCTGCATATTTGTTGCTAAATAATATTATTAGTAAACTCCCTAATCAAATTAGTTAAAACGTTTATTCAAAACTTAAATCGATGTGTTCTAAGGAACAGTACGTTCAATGTAGAAATTCATTGTGCACAAAATGGTATTTAAATTAAAATAAAAACAATGCCTGTTAAGAGTGAACAATTTAATAGCAGGCAACGGTTGATAATTGTAAGAGTTTTAGAGTTTTGTATAATTCGAATAATTATCTTGGTATTTAAATTTAATTTACTTTCAAAAGGGTTTAGTGTAAATATTAAAACACTAGCTACGACGTTTTATATCAAACAATAATAAGCCCGGACGTCGTTCATGATTTTAAAAATGATTTCCTGGACAACATCCTTGCTCTCTACCGTTTGACAACAAGTTCATCATCCTGTCACATGAATCATGTAAAAATGATTTCAAGTCATTTCAATTATAAATTATCTTTGTAAACAGCGTTTTTTTTTTCTAATAAATAGATTTTTCAAAAATATACTTACCCGTTCCGAATCGAGCCAATTGCAGTGTAACTGTCAAAACGCCAACGATTGAACCATTGCAGTTAAATATTTGCCCCATTAAGTATGCAAGTTACATTTCATCGACCGCTGTCGAAATACCTGAACAAATTGTACATTGAAAAATAATTTAGTCATCTTTCATGCAATTGTAAAAAAAAAAATTAATAAGTACAATAATATTCACCTTGTTCGAATGGAGTTATCATTTGACCATTGGCATAATTGACCGTCTCCCCGTGGACTAAGTTTATCGACCACATACATGCCTCTGGAACACATACTTCTATACTTGCTCAAGTATGAGAAATAGCAGCTGTAATCGTCGAGCCTTATACGATAGACAAACATTTTCTGTACACACCGTTAACGGTGAGAATAACCATACAGAGATATTCAAAATGCTAAGTACATTACTTTTTTTTCCATGAAATAACAGTCTTAGCCAAAAACTATTCTAATAAATTCGTTTTTTTATTTAATGATCGAAAATTACACTTAATATTCAAGCCAAAAATATAACTTTGAAGAGTCAGTTAAATAACAATAAGTCAAATGATGTAATGAAAATTGGTCGATAACCAATTTTGGATACATCCATATTACTTCAGCTTTAAGAATTAAAAGGTGCAGACTAGGGTTAAGGTATGCACACTGCTATCATTGTTTAAGTATTTATTCAAAACTGATTTTCATTATACCATTTAAGTCCATCAATGCAATAACGATCTAACACCAAAAAATATAAATACTTTTAAAATACCAATACTACTATTTACTATCATTAATAAATATCAATATATAACATTGAATACAAATAAAAGAAACGTTTTTAAATTACATACAATTGTAATTTCATGGAGAAAAATAACTGTTACATGAACGTCTGCATTAAATTTTTGAAATCGCAAAAAAATTAAAAAAATTATGAAAATTTTAAGCTAATCAACTTGTAAAAAACAAAATAAAGTAATAGTGAACTTCATAGTTAATTATTGACAATAAAAACAAACAAATATTATACTAAATCAAGTGGGTGGATAGTAGACAGGTAGGCAAGTCGAAATAGATTATGTTATCAGACAATCAAGTACTAGGCCATCATACAAGAATTGTATAAGTTTCTTGGAAGACGGTCAAGTCCTTAATAGTTTGACACATCGGTCGTGAAGCGATGTCTGCAACTAGAAATAACTGAAAAAAGGCTTCACAAAGCTTAGACCAGCCTCTTTAAAATAAAATACAAATTTTATAATTACCTAAAATGTTTCTTGGCGGATTCGTAAATTAATTGATTCATCCGGTTTAAAGTATACTCAAAACAGTAATTATCAGTTGGAAAACAAATTTAAATACTTCCAAAGTTATTTTCACTACTACAAAATTATTTTTAACTAATTTTCGGTCTAAAACATAATGTTTTATGTAAATTGCTTGCTTTATATTGTTTAAATAAAGTTACATATTTTTAAAAAAATGCACAATGTTAATAATATATATTACATTTTGTAACCAATGTTTGTGAGACGTTAAATTTCTGACCGAAAATTGATTATTAAAAGTATTTATCTGGCGTGTTCAAAACAAATACATAAAAAGTACCTAGCATTATTTAAGATACTTCTCAATAAACTTAAAAAAAAGATTATATATTTTAATGTTGTTCGAATACAGCTAGATTTTTTAGTAATAGATACCTATAAGTTAAATAATCTATTTATTATGGCTTAACAAGGTCCTAATAATATTTTTAAAAAATGATCTGAATAACATAAGTATATTTAATATACTTCATTATTTAACTTTTATTTATTATTTTTTTTACTTAAATATTTTAAGGAAAAAATACTTTAAAAAAAATCTAGTTAAGAAGATTGCACGCGGTCTGCTTTTAAGGAGTTTTGTATAGGCAATATTTAAGAAAAATGAGGTTTTAATAAATTTCGACCATGTCAATTAATTTACCGGTTAATTTGTTTAAGCTTTGTGGTATTATTTTTAATTTAAATAATTCTTTCTATGAGTAAAAGCCATTTTAGTTTATTTCAGACAAAATGTCGACTAGGTAAGTTGGTCCAATCGTTATTTTGTTAAAAACGTCAAAGAAAGAGGACCACATGCAATTTGCTTCAAAATAGAATCACTAATGAAACACACCAATTAAAGTAATAAAAATATGTAATGGTCCAGCAAAAAATAGTTTTCTAATCATTTTTGTGGCCAAAAATAATCCAACCAAATCATTTCATAAGATTTTTACTTAGCACAGAACGAAAACAAAATAATTGAAGAAATAAAATACTAACAGGCATAGTCAAAAAAATAATATTGTAGATATCTTGTAAATAGCAACTAATAAATGTAAAGCCAGTTTGTCGGTTTAGTTATTTTTATAGTGTTCATTTCGACAATTTAATTATTTTATGACTTATCAAAGGATTTTAAAAACTGTACTTTCACTAAATAATTAATAAGAAACGGCAACTGACCCACTAAATTGGTATTTTCATGCCTAACCATGCATGGTCGTTTAAATTAAATGTTAAATAATATAAAAGCTAGCTTTAAAGCCTAAAAAATAATAATAATTCCACATTTCATAAAAAAAAAACCAATGTTTATTTCCAAATAAACATCAAGTATTTTACAGAGAATTACGACTTATGATTTTGTTCAAATTAAAACTTAAAATAAAAATATTCATAACAATCTCACATTTTATGTCTAATAATAAATCAAGTTGCGTTAAATAGGCAGGCAATTTAAAAAACAAAATACAATAAAAAAGATAAAATATGTAATGTAAACTGTATTGTGTTGTATTTACATATTTTACAAAAAAAAGTTAATTAAAAAACAATACATCTAGAAAAAATACAAACAACACAAGCAAATGGCACTAATGGCTAAAAATACAGTCTTAAGTCTCAGAACACAAATATTTACAAGCAAAAAAAAAAAAATGTAAAATAAAAGAAAAACAAAAGAACAATTCGTGCAACTTATATACATTGTGATTTTTCGACTCAACACTATGTAAGGAAAAGTTGAGATCACATAGACGAAAAAAAAAATTCAATAACTGACTAAACCCTACAAATAATCGAGTTAGAAAAATCACCATGTATACACCGTAAAACATAAGAAGCTTCCTATGGTTGCGGTTTGTTCTTACACTGACTGGCAGCCTACATAAAAAAAACAAAGGTAAACAAATTACTCAAACTATATAATTTAAAGCTTAATTAGTTAGAAATTGTAATTATTACCTTTTCGGCCAGCCAATCTATCACTAACTGATTCTTCAATGCCATTTTTAATCTCTCACGCCACAATATGACATTTTGGATGCACTTTTCGCACATCCAGGTTGTTTTTTTGTCACGCTCGTTTATCTGGAAAAAAATTGGTATAGATAAATATTGATAAAATGTTCAATATTAAACCCATATGACAAAAATGAAATTAATTGTTATGCGGGCACTTCGTTTTTATTAGATATATTATTCCTAACAGTGAGATACAAGTGATAAAATAACGATGATCCGTGAATAGCACAAAGTAGTACTAACAAAAAAATATCAAAAAACGTCAGATATTTCAATTAAAAATAATCAAAATAGCCACCTCACTAACAGTGTTGGGAATTATCTAGATAAAAAATTGTAATTATCTTATCTAGGTAAAAAAAATTAAATCATCTTATTATCTTATTTAGATAAACAAATCGGTTACTAGAGGCTATTTATCTAGATAGAAATTGTAACTATTTTTTAAGTTATTTATTCATGGGTTTAACAAAAATAGGTTTCGGGATCCGACGAAACGCATAATGTAGTCCTAGCCTAAAAATATTAATATACCTAGGTCCTAATGAATAGTGATATAAGAATATATTATTAATACATTGGGGTTGGCTTGTTAGACAAGTCCAATATTCCATTGTAATCCAATGTGTTTTAGTCGATTATACAAAACGTCTTTTACCTATTTTTAATAGGTAGAAGTAGATAAGAGTTATAGATGTATTATCGTATAATTTATTATTTATATTCGTAGTTCTCGACTACAGTGCTCAGTTTTTATTTAATGTTGATAATTTTTTTTCCCAGTACTCTCGAAATAATTACTAGTGCTATATAAAACGTGTTTATAAGAATTTTTACGATAATAATTTCAAGATTAACATTGACCAAAATCCCAACAAAAAAAATGGTCGAAAGTGCAAGTGTTTATTTGAGCAGAATGGTTATAAATTATATTTTACAAATATATATACATGTCAGGCGAGTCCTGTATCAGTAACTACATATAGGGTAAAGAGTAAAGACTATAAAAGTAAAATAGTAAATAGTAATACAAGTCCAATATATTCTAACAATGAGCCGTTTCCGAAAAGTTATTTGTATTTTCAATCAAAATAAAATAACAAAACCATGTAATAAACATTTTAAACATAATGTGGGCTCTCCGTAGTCCGTAGACCGTATGTGGCCAAAACGATAGTTAAGCCTCAAAAAAGAACAATATGTTTATAAATAGTTTCAACCGATAACGAAATGTCCCGTCATCGATTATCGAGTTTGATAAACTCGTATTTACTTTTTATACCTATTTACACTATTACTGTTGCCTACATAAAAGATGACATAAACAGAGTACATGAAAATAATAAATGACAAATGAACAGAGTAGCCATAAATCGCGAAATCTAATATAAGGAAAATTTGCTCTTTGACGTAACTGTCCATGTCTTAGTACCTACGTCTTATTGGTTATTAAATTATTCTGTGAAAATACTTTGTTAGCCTATAGAGTAATACAGTAATAATTCTATAAAAAGCTATAATGGGTCCACGTATTCGGGGAACACTGTCAGTGTTACACTGATTCGGTGCAATATTATTGTTTATATTTTTCAACGATAATTCGTTATCGGAGCAAACCCTTATGTCTTTCAGCTTTGTAAAGAACACAGACGTGTTCACAGTTGTCAGTTCACGTTTTCGCGAGTGTTTTTCTTGTGTCTGTTATAACTTATAACTTTATGGCAGTGTTGTTTTTTTTTATTCGAATAATTATTATTTATTGTTTTTAATTATAAAATGGATAAATATTTGGAAAATTCTATTTGTTCTAAACGAAGTCACGAGGGTGATCAATACCAAATTAACAGTCTTGCTGGGTCACAACCAGCAGAGCCTACAAATGCTATCGATAAAAATCAAAATTATCTATTGGATGGCAAATATTACAAAATACTGTCGGTTGACGGATCAAAAATTACTGTTAATTGTCAAATTTGCGCAAAGAAAATAATGGCTTATTCGAATTCAACTGGTAACCTATTGAGTCACTACAAAGTAAGTAAAATTAATTTTTTACTGGTGATATTTAACTAAATAGCCCTTAAGTAGTTAAACTAACATAAATTTACAGTTTTTTTTTTATAAAAACATAAAACTGTTTGGATATTTTTTATAATGTGTTAGATAGATATACTATTATTTTGTATAATAAATTATGAGTATTGGAGATTTTATACAAAAACTAATACTGCAATAGTTATTTTTTTAATATTATTTCAATTACCTAGTACTCTTTGTTAAACAAAATAGCACTCAAGTAAAAATATTTTTAACTTAGGTTACTTTAATTTTCAATACGTAAAACTAAATTTACCAAGATATATTATAATAAACATATTATATTTTTTTAGCTTGTACATTCTTGTATGATGAATGAATTAAAGAACTATAAAGAAAAAAAACGGTATGATAATTCTAATTCAATTGCACCAAAATCAAAGCAAGCAAAATTGTGTTATTCTACGTTTAATTCAGAACTTAAACAAACATATTCAAAGCAAGAGGTATTCATTTTAATTAGTATTTACATTAAAACCTAAATTAATAACCATTTTACTAACTTAGAAAATAGCTAGAAATTTAAAATAAGACATAAATAATTCTTAATAATCTAAAATCTAAATACTATATTAGTTTTATAAAAATATTATGCATACACATTAGTTACTTATTTTGTAAATAGTTACAATAAAAATAAGTTATAGTAAGCTTGTGGTTACAATAACGCCAAGTCTTATTAGAGTTTGTGAATTAGTGTTTAATAGTTTTCATTTTTTTTTCTAATAGGCAAATGTTTCTATGTTTGTAAATAATAACTCACGTAAATGGTAATTATAAATGAATTTGATCCACTATATTGTAATAACAATTATTTAGTATTTACTATGCTGTTTTATCAAATTCAATTTGTTTTCCCAACCTAATAAACATAGTTTTTATTTCTACTAACATCATGTTAATAATAAAAACCATATTTTTAAATACAATATTTTGAAGTTTTTAATAATAAAAACAGTAACATATTTAAGTGTCATGTCTATTATATATAATAGCTATAAAATGTAATATTTATTCCTTACAGGTGTATGATTTGGTTTTTCAATACATAGTCTGTGAAATGCGACCACTCCTAACTTGTGAAAAACATAGTTTTCGCAAATTAATTTTGGGACTTACTCGTACAAACGATGAATCAATAATTCCAAATAGAAAACAATTATCAAATCTGTTGAATACTAATTATATCTCTTATGTAACCATGTTGAAGTTGACATTTGAGAAATTAAAATTAATTTGTACCACTGCGGATATTTGGAGTGCCAACAACAAAAGTTATTTAGGTAAGTGTGATATGTAATTTAGTTTGTTAACAAAATGTTAATTGATTTGGTTAATTCAAAGTTGTAATATATTAAATACAAGTATTTAAATCCTTCTCTGGATATCAAAGTTAATTAAAAAAATATATAAATTAATATAAATTTTAAATGTAATATATTGAAATAGTTTAAAAAATATAATCTATAGTAAAATGATCAAGAAGTATGCTAGAATAAAAACTGTATGTAGTTTTCTAAAATAACACTTTTATATTCCAAAACAATTGTTTTTGTCAAAAAGCCAATTTAGTAATTAGAAATTTGGGTAATATTTTTGGTACATGATATTACAACTTATTATCTTAAATGCTCATTTTTTCACTAAGGATTCTCAGTTCAACTATATTAAACATATTTATAACATGTTATAAAAATTATTCTATACAACACTGATTTTTGTATAGTATTATAATAGTTTATTATTTATAATTAATATTATATCAATTTTTATACTTTTTAAGACGCATAAAAACGATATTTTTAGATTCATTTTTTAATCTACTTTAATTATTTTGTTCTTTTTTGTTTTTGTAAGTACGTATCTATATATTTAAATGTACAATGTTATAAAAAGTTTATAATATGTTATAGAAAAGGCTGCATGGTCAGAAGGATTATCATAAGAATTAGTAATCAATTTAAAAGCTTATAATTTTAGATTTATTACTGTATAAATTATCATAAAAGTTGAAAATAAGTTGTAATTACTATATAAGTTATCATAAAAGTTGAATAAAAGTTGTAAGAAAATGAAAAAAAGTGTAATGATGGGAACGGGTTTGAACCTGGTACCGCTCATATCTGAGCACCGTTCACGCCCAAACGCACCACGCATAATTTTTGCTGGCGGGTGAGAAATAAGTCTTTTTGAATTGCAAGATTCCACCCGGAACGACAGACAAGAAATCGACCCCATTTTCACCCCCTTAGGGGTGGAATTTTCAACCTCTTGTGGATTAATAATGCATTGTCATCGAATTGTGAGCTACCCTGAAAGTTTCAGCCGGATAGCTAATCGGGAAGTGCTCGAAATTTGAGACAAACAAGATTGTGAGTTCATAAAAACGTTTTAATAAAAATTGTAGTCTTGAAATAACAAATGGAATATTTAAATGTGTATGTTTTGATTATTTTAATGAATATGTACTAAAAAAGGTATACTACACATATCAGCACAATTTGCACAAATGATTCATATACTATATTAATTCAGTTTAAGCCTTAACGCTTTAGTTCTTAAAAATTAAAATTTTGATTACATATAGGAAAAATTCGTTAATTTTGGCGAATTTTCATGCTAAAATTAATTTGATATAGTAATATTTTGTGGAAAATTACTTTATTTGGCAGTTAGCGCGTTATTTAATTTTTTTTTTAACTAGTTACGCATGTATTATCATCTATTTCAAGTATTTGTGTAATGTGCTAATAATTAAACACTACAATATCCCGGGTACTTGGTTAACTATGAATTAAGAAGTTAGGACGAGAAGGGAAATGCGGTTGAGTAATGTGCCCATATTTCCACTCTCCACCCTTCCTCCCATCCTAAATTTTAAAATTAAACGGCTTGAAAATAATTATTCAAAACTGGTTATCGACCAATCAAAACACGTTCAGCAAATTACCTATTCCTAATTTAAAAGGTTAATAAAATATGCAAGTCGCCGATACAAACAACTTAGGTCTTATGGTTTTAACATAATAGGGGTGGGGTTGTATTTAAAAAAAAATAAAGGAGATTGCACGCTATCGGTTTTAAAGAAGTTTGGTGTAGGCAATAATTAAGAAAGAAAAAAGTGGTTTAAATAAATTTTGGCCATGTCAATTAATTTACGGGTTAATTTGTATAATCTTCAAGGTATAACTTTTAATTTAAATAATACTTTCAATGAATAAAAGCTATTTTGGTTTATTTTGCATAAAATTTCGAATACATAGGATTGTCCAATTTCAATTCTTTAAAGAGATTCAAGTTCTTTGGCTAACTTACTATGTTATATAGGAAGCCAATTTCATTTATACATTTCAGTTCCTTGTTAATTAAATACATTTAGTTTATATTTTTTTAAACATTAAAATAAAATGTTTCCTATAAAACCTAGTAAAGTTGCCAAAGAATTCGTATATGTTTAAAAAATTTAAATCTAACAATCTTAAGTAGTCGAAATTTTGTCTGAGTTTTTGGTCTAAAACATCAAAAAACAGACCGCATTCATCCCCTTAAATTTTTCCCAACTATGACAATTAAAAATAAATAATTAAAATAAAGTCTTAATATTTTATAATTTATTGTAATGTTTAATTATTTGCACATTATAAAAATATATGTGCGCTTACTAGTAAAAGTAATTTTACAGAACCAGTTGTCGGCCAGCCAAATATCCCAGCAAATTAATCAAATTATTCTTAAAAAAACTGCTAAATTAATTTAATATAGTTACCGTCTACTTAAGCCTACCGGCTAAAATGATAAAACATGAAACATGCTTTAGTCGCTGGACCTTGAATAGTGATTATTTCCGATCTGTAATCACCTTGCGTTATTTGATGATAATATAGTGTTTATTTTATATTGTGACCAAATGTTTTTTAATAGATTTTTAATATTTTGCCTTTATCGGTTTTTTGGCAACATTAACCTGATCAGTTATTTTTCATAAATTAACCATTCAATTAATTGTGCTCATTATTGTAAACAATTTTATTTCACATGCGTCCACGGAGTGGCCAGCATGTGACCAAAACCAACATACGGCATACGAAACATCATTTCGTGTTTGAATTTTATTCTCAATTCAGTGGTGTCCTTAGAATTTTTTATAATCAATATTATATAAATTAGCATCATTTTTTTGATCAATTTATTTTCTAGTTATTCTCTAGTGTCTCTAGTCTACTATCAAGAATTATTTTTTTAAATATTTAAGACATCTCAAATTTGAAATTTAAAACTAATTAAAATGATACCGCCTTAAAACATTTTTAATGAGAACCTATGTAAGTACATGCTTCACTAGTGAAGAATTGGAAACAAACTTATTTCACAATAATTAGATTTTTACAAATTTAAATATTGAATATAAAATAATTCTAAGGATACCACTGAATTGAGAATAAAATTTTAACCCAAAATGATGTGTCGTATGCCATATGTTGGTTTTGGTCGCATGCCGGCCACTCAGTGGCCACCCTGTGGACACATGTGTGTCCAGATACCAAAATCATGTTACACATCAATTTAACAAGATTTGTTCAATGCTGCAATTTTTTTTTAATAAGATACGAGTTCTACTTTAAATAGTTTGAAAATTAAAAAAAATGATTTTAACTTCTTGTACCCATACAGCATTCAAAACGTCTCATTTTCTCGGTAGAACTTTACATTACATTATGTACATATTATATGATAAAGCAACCGCTAGATCACGCTACTTATATACATATTATGTTAAAAAACAACCGCAAGATCGCGCTACTAGCTGGGGGCCAAGGCATTAATCCATGCTAAAATTATAACGATTAAGTGCAATTAAAAAAAACGTGGTGTTATAGCGCCTGTAGTATCAATTTTTTAGTTTCGTATATTTTGTGTTAAAAAATGTGTCATCCATATATTTGTTTTCGCTCCCCAAGAATATTTTTTGTTATAAAAATATTTTGTTATGTTGCGAACAAGAATAACCAAAATTATTTTTACCGTCTATAATTTCCTATAAACTAAATATCTAAAAAAAAAAAAATCAATGTTTTCTATTTAAATGTATAACAATGCAGGAACAATCAAATGTAATAAATTAAAAACTATGACATTCTCGCATACATCCGAACGATAAGAATACACTCATATAACTCGGTGAATTAACTGAACTGAATTTAAAATGAAGTAACCATAACAATAATGAATAAAAACGGTTCAATGATTATTTTTTTCATCAAATACTTAATTTAAAAAAAAATCAACTTTGTTTCGTTGTCAAATAGTTATAAACGGAGCCCTTCAAAATCAAAGTTGCGCATGTTTTTAAATTTGTGATTTAACCATATTATTGTTATACTTATATCATATCGTTTTAAATTAGCATCATAAATCATTATATTTAAAACAAAGTACCATACAACGCTTAGCTTTTGAAGGGCTCAATTATTAGGTGCCGATAAGTCTAAACAGATAACCGAATATTACAGAAATTAAAAAAAAACAATAAATTATTGCATTTAATTTTTATTAAGACTGGAATGAACTATTCGGGTATAAGTGTTTAATATTGAGTTAAATATTATTTTATAGAAACGTTGGGATGAAAAAAACGAATATCCCAACAACATTTTCATATAAAACAATAATAACACTGTACTCTGCGAACAAACCAAATCGGCTGTTATTAGCGCATTATGCGATGGAAAAAAAAATTGTTAAATGATGTTGTGATAACCATAAATATAAATCAATTACAAATTAATAAGGCCCAGTTACTGAACTATTAATTACACATAGTGGTTTAACTTATAAATACAAATTTTGCAAAAAATCGCCTACATCCAACTGCTTTATAAATTGGAGGGCGAGGGTATCACGTCCTTATAACACACACTTAAAAACCCCAAACAAGAAAAACCTTTATCGTCGCCCGGCTAACGGCATACTGTTCAACAAACCCAGTTTCGATACAATCTATAACACTCGGTTTCCTCGTAATGACTATTAAAATTATTTTTATTATATTATTATTTGTCAGTTGCTGACGATTTTAAGGGGAACCCCAGTCTCACTCGAAGGGCCGCCACTGGTTGTTAGGCAACCGTCAACGGGTAAACATTAGAGCAGAAATGGCGCCAAAAAATTATACAAAATATTTTTTCACCGACATAGGGGCGGTGCACTCCTCGAGTCTAATATTATTTAAGACTATTAATGAAACAATAACAGAAGGTAATAATATGCTAAGCCCGGTATCGCTCGAATCTACATGATATTATAATCGATATATATATATATATGTATATTGGCAAATCACTCACCTGAATTTTGTAATAACGCTTAATGTCCTGCAACATGGAGTCATCTATGTGCCATATTGCTTCGGCGCTCAACCGAAGCGACCTAACAGTAAGGCAAGTTCGACAACAGTCCATGTTGTTGTTGGCAGCGGCGGCGGCGGCAGAGTTCATGTTGACAAACAACCGGAGAGGTGAGAGAGTGCAAAGGTGTTGATGGTGCTGAGGCGTCTGAGTGACTGAACGAGACGACCCGGCCGATGTAGCAGCTCGAGATCGGCGCCGGCTGGGTTATCGGTCGGCAAGGACGTTACAAGCTAACCGCGTTTGCAAGGACCGTGTAGACTAGGTAGCCGCTGATAGGGCGAGCACCGTCGACGCGGTTACCTGTAAAATGGCCGCCACGCCGGCGTCGTTCGGTGTAATAATCTTTTTGCGGTCGGCCCGGGGAGAGAAGCGTCTCGAGGGTGCGCAGCTGCTGCCACACCCCATGGCAAATTTTCTATGCCTACACTACACGTCATATTATAATATATTATGTATATTGCACCCCAAAGAGTCCGCCGTTTCTGATTGGTCGTTGTACGTTATTGATTTTTCGTTTCCACAGGGTCCAAACCCCACATCGGAATATATTTCCTACAATATAATATTATACACAAAGTCTGACGACAAAAAAAAACCACCCTTTGTCCCGACGAAACGCTTTCAATCGCAAGTAGCAAAGAAAAAAAATGGTAAAAACCCGTTTGTCCAAATCGCTACTATGTTGAAAATGCAAGGGCGGACAATAGGGGAAATTTCCCCCGTTCACAAAAAAAAAAGTATCAAATATTCCATTTGTTTTTTATTAATTGTGACTAAAATTTTGTTCATGCAAGTTATCGAGAGAGGCTCGTTATTGTATTTACCACGAACATTTAATTATTTTTTCATTAAAAATTGTCCATTTTTATTTTATTGAAATAGTGATCACGGCACATTTTATCTACAGCCGGTTATTACTTGGGTTCCGACACAGTACACATACAAAAATATATTATGACATTACCTGCTATATTCTACGATTTTGCGATAACACCAGTCGATCTATTTTTAAATTAATATGCCATACCACAATGGTTTTACCGCTCCTCGCTGCTTGCCGTTAGTTTTGTTTTGACAGCAGTTTAATGTATTTTATAAAACGAATAATATAAAGTTATTATATTATAGTTAAATTTTATTTGACAAGAATTAAAAAAAAAAAAATATATTGTAGACCAAGTAATCGGTATATTTGTTGGACCCCGTCTCGCAAGTCGTGTTTTGCGGTGACCAACATAAAATTTTACTAAATCATCTAAAATCAATCAAACCTAAAAAAATCATTGGTTTAATAGTTAATCTAGTGCCTGATCGAAGCTTTTTTTTTTTTTGAAATAAACAAAATGGTGACCTCTGATCATTTACTCGCGGATTTTCAAGGAAAAAAGCACTAGTTTATTGTTTATAAAAAATATGATTTTTAATAAAAAAAAAACCTTCGATTAGGCACTAGTTTTTTATGCTTTTAAGAGGGCGTCGCACAGGTGATTTTCAGTGGTAAAAACATGTTTAAGCAGACTGAAAATAACTTGCTTAATTTTGGTTTTAGAGTAAAAGCACTCATTATAAAATTAAAAGAAAACAATATTCCGAAGGGAAAGACGGTACGTTTTTTAAAAAAAATTAATTTTTGGAAAGTTACAGTCATTTAAAAATGTTAAAATAGTCGTTATTTCTAAACTATGTACTGAGCGTTATACTTAGAATAATGAAAAAAACGCACCGTCTTGACCTCCGAACTATTGTTTTCTTTTAATTTTATAATGGGTGCTTTTACTCTAAATTCAAAATCAAGCGAGTTATTTTCAGTTTGCTTAAACAAGTTGAGATCAAAAAACATTTTTAAATCGCTTTCAAGGATGCTGTGATAGTCCAAAAAATGAATTAACTACCAAAATAGAGTCCTAGTTATTGAACTAATAATTACACATCACAGTTTAACCTTTAAATTAAGATTTTGTAAAAAATTGCCTATACTTTACTCCTTATACGCAATGAGCTGTATAAATTTCATTCAAATCTGTGAAAAGGGTTTTTAAGTTGCAGTAGTCACTGACTTTGAAAAAATAGTTTCGATAAAAACTCATTTTAAAAGTTTTATACTCGATTTATGTATAGAAAAATAAATTATTTAATTACTTACATCGAGACATCTATTCCTTTGATTAACTTGAAATTTACAGATAATATTTTCGAGACATCATACTTCAAGAAAATACAAATAAAAAAATCGAATTTTTGACAATCTTGACTACCCCTAACCCCTAAGTTTTTCATTCATAATTAAAAGTAGGTGTCTTTCACATTCACCAGTATGACTGATTTCTGTACACAACTAATTTTCATGTCGACTAATAATAAGACAATTCCTATGCCTACCTATTCCTATTAATTTATTTTATTCATTTATATTTATTGCCCCCCCCCCCCGTTTAGAACCTCTGTTTCCACCCTGGTGAAAATGTAAGAATACGTTTGCCGTACAATGATAAAAAATTTAATATTTTCTAAATGTTAAATCAAACTCCTTTGTTTTCAATGGTTTGCCGTGAAATATAACGCTTGAAAAATATAAAAAAAGCCATAGAAATATTTCCAACCTTATGACGATTTATTATACCATAAAGAACGGCGTCGAGCATTATCTAGACGAATAATTACTTTATGACTAAATAAACAAGCAGCGTTGCTAGATAATAGCCTCGGACTTGGCAAATAAGTATTGTGCCGTGTTCATTTCCCATTATAAATTATAAAATCTTTCACGACTGAGACAAATGCGCAAAGATAAGGAAATTTCGTTACCTAGCAATCATGCCTGTCGTGAATTATTTATCTCTTATCTTATCTAGATAATTAAAACAAATATTTTTATAGCCTTTTAGCTTAGATGATTTATGCCGGGTTGCACCAAATATTTACACAGAGATAAACTCGTTTAACTGGTGTAAATATAAATTCTGTTGCATAAACCACGTTTTAAATTTGATCTGTTGTTAAAAATGTACTTTATCCCGAGTTTAATTAAAGGTCGTTAATCGCTGTGTAAAAATGTAATAACTTGAATTTAAACAACGATTGAGCAACACTTGTTAATTTAACAAAAGACAATGTTTTACAAAAGCTAGTTTATTACGGTGGTAAATAATTTACCAATAAAAAACGACAAGTTTGGTGCAACCGGGCATTAGCTTACAATCGATTTTTACAATTGTGTGAGAATAAATTGTGAACCACTGTTTTTTTGTCGTCTAGTTATGATGTAATAACATTATTCCACCATATTATTAAAATCCCAAAAGACCCTTATGTACGATGATTGTATATAAAATGATATAACAGCTATAGATAGACAAAACACCAAATGTTCTCTGTCGCTAATAATAATAATAACAACAATACGGTAACAGGGTAATGCCATCTGGCCATCAATGACATAATATTATACATCCCTTTCTAGACCCCAGTCACATTAAATGATTGAAAACCTTTCGTGAAATGGTTAGTTCTCTGTCTAATTTTATTTTTCTGATAATAGTAGATGAATACAAATATTCGCGGTCAGTAGACACTACCAAAATTTTAATTAAACTTAAATATGTTGAGCGATAATATTTATTTCTCATACCACTCTTATAATATTAGCAACGAAACAGTGTCCAGATTTGAAGGTTTTACATAATACATATCTTTATTCGGTATAACACCACATTATGCAGTTTAATGTGAAAAAGACCCAGTGGTGTAGCTAGACTATGCCATTTTAAAATTCATAAAGAAATTGCTTGTAAATCGAAATAATCAGAGTTAGAAAATATATCACTTGACGAAATTTTTTTTATATACAAATTATGATTGCTTTATAGTAACTTTTTGTACTTTCTTTTGGTCAAGCCATTTTAGTATAGCGTCTAAGCGTCTTATACCGTCTAAGCTTACATTTCGACAATTATAAAACGTGGTTTAAACTATGCTGTATAACAAATTGCATTTTGCCAAAACATAATGCGAATGTGTGTTTCTGCAAGAATGAGTCATAAGCTGTGACTCATAACCCTCGCGGTGAATGAACCCTCGATTTATCCCCCTTTTGTCGGACCATCTGCACAACCCTCTCTGGGGTTTCAACCCTCGAATTCTCCCCCTTCGGACGTTCCCTTGACAACGGGAAGTCTCTTCAAAAAAGAGGGTTGAAAGTGCTTACCAAGTATAATATCATTGTCGATTCAACGACAGAAAAAAAATTACTTTCTTATCATGATGTAGGATACGTTTCATTAATTGATGACGTCATACACAATAGGGAAAGAACAAATAAAATGTATAAATACACAAAGTAAAATATGCGAGTACGTATATTTTTTATGAAAATTATCTGACAAATTTCAATATAAACCAAATTTAATATTGTCCATCTTATCCGTGGGTATATTACGTGTATCTTAGGTGTATCTTATGTGTGGAAATTTTCATTTATTTTCTGTATGTAATTTACGGAAGCTCCTTAGTGCTTATAATTTTTAATTTTTCACATTTTATAGATATCATTGTTTAAAGTATTGAATATATCTACACATTTTCAATAATAAATTTGACTTGATAGCCTAGGTATAAAAAATCGTTTAATATACCTAACTACTTCGTTACACTTTTTAGCAATATTTTGAGTAAACCTTTCAGTGAGTAATACAAATCAACTAGTATCACTAGTACATCACATTTTCTGATATTAATATAACCTACTCTATTTTATTTTATTTTTTTTTGCGTTTATTATAATTTATAATACATTTCTGAAATATTACTGTAACGTTTTAAAGGCTACGAGAAACAGTGTTCTATTTTTTCTTCAAAAACATGTCATATTTTAACAATAAACGTATTAATATAATACTATGGGCATCTCTCCACCTGCATGATAATATTTATTGAAAAATTACACGAGCTATACCTGAGAAAAATTGTTTGACAACAATTTGAAAATATTTTAATTTTTTTTTTGTCCGGGCAGTGATCTTATAAATTTTTATTTTAAATTTCGATTGTTATAATGTATATTTCCTATTGTTCGGTATTTTGAACTATTTTCAACGTACACT